CCAGGTTTTTAGTAGAATTTTTAATGGATCTCAAAGTAGGTTTCCTAGAATCCTGGGGTTTCATAAAGTTTGGAAAAGCCCAACATTTTCTATGGCACATTTACCTATGATAAGACTACATAGGCAAATTTAAATATCAGGTGAATTTGTTGGAATTAGATAGATACATCATGGTCACTTTGGATATTTCATGATCATGAGGTGTTTTTCTTGGCAGTTACATTTTTTTTAATACAAAATGAGAAATATAAAAAAAAATTTTGACACTTCATTGAAATCAGTTTCAAAATTTGAGGAAAAATTCAATGAATAGAATGAGAGGCTGTAGTTTAAAAGCTTAAATATTTCCCTTCACCTGACCACTCCTACACACACAAACACAAATATACTTAAATACAACTCACAAGATTAGGTACCTGTGAGTATGTTCTCCTACTGCTTTCCATGTCTCTGAACAGCATTTAATACAGTATTATCAAGAGTACTTGACTGTTAACTCCTAAAAAACAGGAACTGTTTGGAGTTTATTCAGTGTCCTCAGAGCCTGTCATAGTAAGTGCTTAGTAAATATTGAACTCAGCTGAATAACACATTCCTTGCCCTCAAGAAAGTTATGTTCGAGCGGCGGGAAGGATCATATGCATAGCCAACTAGAATATTAAACAAATGTTGGATATCCACCATAAGCCATGATGGATATGAGTGGCAAGGTAGGATTAGGATTAATTGGATCTGATTTGCAGATTGAAGAAAGCTTAAGTGGGCCTTGAAGATTTCCTGGAGGTAAAAGAGCAGAAGAGCAGATTGAGCAAAGAGAAGTGAGCAGAGACATTGACGCTGCAGCCTTCAGGGATGAGGGCCGGTCATTCATTGTGGCTGGTGTAGAGGCTGGCAGTATGAAGGAAGGAAAGAAATATGGCTAGAAAAGTAGGTATTCCCTGCTAAAAAGCTGACCTCTATTTGGTATGAGGTCAAGGGCTGTAGGAGGGTTTGAATGGGAGGTCACAAATCAGGACTATTCTAAAATAATCTCTTAGCAGCAGTGTGTAGGTAGAGTGAGTCTTCACTATATAGTCCAAGCCAGCAGTGTTACTGTCTGAACCAGACTTGTTACCCCTACTGTGTTCCCTCAACATCTTGCTGTGTGATTCAGAGCCTAGAGCAGGAAGTGACTCAAGAAGAAGGAACAAACCAGGCCCTGAGAGAGGAGGCCCAGCGAAGGGATGCAGCCCTGCAGCAGCTGCGCACAGCCGTGAAGGAGGTGAGCAGCAGTAGTCAGGCCTCTTGGTTCTGCCTTTACAAACCTGATTTCTTTGTATGACCTTCCCATCCCTACCCCAGTAAGAGCCCCAGTGTTTGAATGGGAGAGGTCCCTACTGAGCTTTGTGGGTAGAGGAAAGGTGCATTGGATCATCCTTTATATTGACAGACCCTAAGCTTGTTGTAGCATGTCCATAATTAGCCAGTAATGCTTTTTGATGTGGAAAATCATTCTCTCTTTGTCTGCTTGAAGCCCCAGGTTTCTGAGTGGAGAGTTCAATAAAGACTGAGGATTTGGTGGCCTTCATGCACTAAACAGAGCTGTCAGCAGGGGGCAACCAAGTTCACTGACTGGCCTAGTTCCTAGGAAGGAACCTCCTTGAGCAAGAATTGTCACATGGCCCAGTATGGGTAGAGGGCCTGGGACTGAAGGAAGGACTCTATTCAGACTCTATAAAAACACAATCAAGGTAGGAAGGGAAGGAAATTAGATTAAGCTGTCAGGAAGAAAGGGAAACAAGCAGACATACATGAATAGCTGGTCTTTGTAATAAAGTCTGACTCCACTCCGGTGAGAGATTGAAAAGGCAGGACTCGTTCCGGTACTGGATCCTCCAGGTCCCAGTTTCTCCAGCCCCCCACCCAGTGGCTACTAGTTGTCATATTGTCTGTCTTACCCTCTTTATTCCTTTGACACACAGTGATCAGGCTGGCTTGTGGCCACTTTTGTCAGGGTGGCAGGGAGAGATTGAAACCAGTGTCTCCTCAGATTTCACGGTTCACATTAAGCCTTCTCTAATAGCCTGGCTAACAGAGTTGGCTGAGGGACTGGCTTGAGATAGAGTTCCTAGGGGCGGGAGCATCTTCTCTGGTTCTTGAACAGAAACTTGGATGCTGATGACTCAGAACCAGCTGAGGGTTGGCCTCCTCTCCAGTGCCTAACCTACCCACAAGAGGAACCAGGCCTGATATTAATGGTGGGAGAAGTGCGAAGCCTGTTGGCAGGGATAGGATTGGGGAAGGGGGACACTGCCTGTGACTCACCCATCCTCTCCACACCCACACACACTCATGCACAGATACTCTTCCTCTCCCTGGGCCTGAGTTAATGTGCTTACCTATCTATCTGCTCAGCTTTCAGTGCAAAACCAGGACTTGATAGAGAAGAATCTGACGCTCCAGGAGCACTTGCGCCAGGCCCAACCAGGATCTCCACCTTCACCAGACACGGCCCAGCTGGCACTTGAACTACACCAGGAGTTGGCCAGTTGCCTTCAAGATCTGCAGGCTGTCTGTAGCATTGTGACGCAGAGGGCCCAGGGCCACGACCCCAATCTCTCCCTGCTCCTGGGCATTCACTGTGAGTCCTCAAACCAGTCTGGGGCCCAGAACAGAGGAGTCTTCTCTCTCTTCTCTCCCTCGTCCCCCTTTCCCATATTCTTACGATAATAGGTGGACAGAGTACCTAGGCCTGGCCACTGCCTTCTGGACATTTATTTGTTTCACAAAGTAGGTGTTCATAAATTTGTTTTTGGAAACAAGCTGTGGGGTACTAGTATTCAGGACAAACTAAAAGTGGGCCTTTAGCAGCAAATTCCCAGCCCACTATCCCCAGATTTTATTTTTAAGTTCATGTCCCAAGACTGTGGGTTCAAAATACTGCCTATCCATATTGCCCCCTCCACATGAAAGTGTCTCACAACTGACTTGCTAACATTCTCTCAAAATGCTCTTCTCTCCAGCAACACAGCACCCAGAAACTCAGCTAGATTTGCAGAAGCCAGATGTGATCAAGAAGAAACTAGAAGAGGTCCAACAACTGCATCGTGACATTGAGGACTTAAGGACCACCATGTCAGACAGATATGCCCAGGACATGGGAGAAAACTGTGTCACACAGTGAGGAATTCTGGGGGATTACCCCAGGGAGGATCTGGGCTGCTGAGAGCCTAGTCCAACAGGTTTCTGCCCTGACATTCACTTGTCCGCTATTCCCAGAGAGAAGTGTCAGAGGAGAGGGGAGAGCCTGCATCTGGGGGCCAAGGGCTGATTAGGGAACTGTGTCCTACCCCACACTGGCATGTTGGATTACATTTGTACTGTTAATTCACTCTCGAGGGTGAGTTACTAATTAACTTTTGGCAGGTACAACAGATAAGTCTTCACAAACTGTTCCCAGCCCTAGGCTGACATCAGAGATGAACAAGCTGTCCACTTTTCTTCTCCATCCAATGGGTAGATCCATGTTCATTCCCACTTTATACCTTTGTCCTACTGATTAGAGAGATCAGAGGGGCCTGGAAAGGCTGAGTGAGTACCAGTAACAATGGCCATTTACGAATTCTCAGGCCGCCTGTACCAGCCTTCCTGGGAACTGAGCTGCTTTCTGGGTTTTCTGATGCCTGCCTGGTCTCACTGCTTCTTCCTCAGGGCTCTTGTTCTCCCAGAAGCCTCAGGGTAATGTGTTGGTTAGTATATAACTACTAGGATTGGGGACCTAGAGATTTAATCTGCCTACCATGCCATTTAACAAGAGATACCACTTTCCAGCTGCCTTGTGTCCCTAGGGTCCTGGCCATGTGTTTAGCACAGCCCCTTTCTCCTTTGTTCTCAGGCCTTCCAGGTAGCCCCCTTCCTGGACTTAAGAGTATGTACTCTTCTCTGTGCTTCTAGCCTTCGGCAGAATTCTAACCCAGAGACCAAAGGGCAACTGTCAAGCTGCTTACTCCCTCACCCAGGGCTACACCCTGTGCCCAGCCCTCTAATTTGTGCCTCTCTTGTGGTGGGGGTCAGTCCTTTCCCTTTCCTACTCTGGCCTTCTTGAAACTTCAGAGTACCCAGGACCAGTCAGCTTTCAATGTTTTCTGGGTTGTTTCTCTGGGGCTTTAGGGAGGGCCCTTTGCCCTCTGGTTTTTCTTGCCTCCTGGTTTAGGGAGCATCTCACACTTGTTAGTATCTGGTTGTTGGGCCAGCCATGCCTCCTCTAGATCTGGAGCCAGGCCACGCAGGGGGCCAGGTGTGGGCCAGATACTTTGCAGCCACAGCAAGATTTTTGCTAAGCTTTGGGCTGTTGGCAGCATCCTGGACCTCACGCCTGGGCCTGAATGAGTCTCTTTCTTAAGTGTTTTTACAAGTTTGTGTTTTATTTATGGAGTGACTTATCCCTTCCATTCAGAGCAGCCCCACCCAGCCATCCCTTCAGCCTCTGGCTCCTGCCTCTTAAAGGCAGAGCCGTCTGGTTGGTCTCCACCCTGTGCATTGGGAGCCCAGCCACCATGCTCACGGGTATTTTTCTTCATAAAGTTTCTAACCAGTTATTTATATGAATCTTTGTTATGTCAACTTGTTTGTATTGCCTATTTTGATTATAAAATAAAATATCTTAACAGACTCCTCAGTTTTCCATAGCCTTCCATCACCACCACCACCACACTATCCCACCCCTCACTTTGGCTTGTTAGAGCTAAAGTCTGGATGTTCAGCCAGGTTCCCCAGGCAGCAACAAGGAGGAACCTTTGGCAGGTCCAGCCTCATGTCCATATCTCTGCCATATCCGCTCCTCTGTCGTTCTAAAGGAGCAAATCTCTTCCCACTCACTTTCTGTTGGGCAAACCTGCCCTGAGTCATAGCAGAAGTTTGTCACTGGAAAGTTTCAGCGGTTGCAGGAAGTCAGCAGCCTCTGGAAGTCGCTTTACCAAAGCTAAGAGTTGTCTTTGGGCTGTTACCTGCCTGAGCCCTGGATCAGGGAAACATCTGAAAAGCATTACGTTGAATGCCACACAGATAGCTAGGTCTCCAAAATTGGGCTGGTTGCTGGAGTCTGCTTCCTCAATCCCTGAATTCTTGCTGGGAGTAGTAGTGGTTTTGTAATGCCATCTGCAGCATGGAGCTGGGGTTGAGCTTGGACCATCCAAGACCAGAGGTGGATCTTAAGGGTCACCTTGAGCCCAGACTCTTTGAGTCTTGACACCACCCTCTACTGCCACACTTTCCAGCTGTCAGCCTTGGTCTCCACCTGGTTCCTTGAGGGTGTGGCCTCAGCGTCCTGCCACCACCCTTCCTTGTGTAAACCTTCCCACCTGAGTGGAAAGGAACCTGGGGGAAAATCTCTAAGCACAGGCTCTTTCTGCTGTCCCATGGTTCCTATCTCCCAGGGCTAGTCGGGGCGGGTTCCCCTGGAGCAAGGTTCCTTAGTTTGGAAACGGGTTTGAAAGCAGCTCAAGCCTTCCAAAGCCCCAAGCTGCGTTGTACTATTAAGGCACCTCCTTCTGGAGACGGTGGCTCTCGGGGCTGGGGAGTTGGATGCACCAAACCTGTGTGAGGCTAGAGAGGAGGCCCCTGCCAGACCCTCTCTCGGGCCTGTCCTGCCATTCAGCCTCTCCCCAGTCTCACACTGAGCTCCAAATCAGGGAAGGGCCGAAGACGACGAGCAGAGCAGCCGCAGAAGGGGCTGCCCTGCGTGGGACGGGTTCCTCAGCGTCTGGTCACCGGGGGGAATGGAGGGGGCCTTCGGCGCACGGGGCGGTGTCGCGCAGGCCCCGCCCCACCTGCCCGCGCCACCCATTGGTCCCGAGCGCGATGACTTGCGGGCGGAGCAGGAAGGAAACCGCTCCCGAGCGCGGCGGCGGCGTAGTCTACCGGCAGTGCAGCTGCCGCTACCGCCGCCCTCTGCCAGCCGGCCTGTCCGCATACTACCCAGCATGAGCGGCCTGCGCGTCTACAGCACGTCGGTCACCGGCTCCCGCGAAGTAAGTGTGCGCCTGGACTGGCGCTGGGGAAGAACGCGGGGCTGTGTCCTGGTGTTTCGGACCTTAGCGCCCCGGACCCGCCCCCAGGACAGGGGCGGGGCGGGTGGAGGGGCGTCGGCGAGGTGCTGGGCATGGTCTCCCGAATCCAGTCTCGATGCCCCATCCTGAGCGTCTTCGACGGGCATCCTGGGTTCTTTGCAGCCGCAGCATGAACTGCCCGCGCCCATCCCCCATCTCCCCCACACCCATTCTCTGCATTTCCACTACCTGACCCTGACCACAACCGCAGCCTGCTCTTCCGGGGCCTGGGGATCCTGCCCTTCCCTCCCCACCCTGAGTCTAATCCCACTTCCCTTTACTCTGACCCCCTCCCCGTGGTTGATGATCCCTCTCTTCATCTGCACTACCTCAAGCCTCACAAACCCTCCCAACTCCTAGAGGCCAGAACCCACCCCTTGTGTAGAGGGGGATGGGGGGACAAAAGCTCCTGGTCACAGCCTCTCACTCTGACCAGAGTGAGTTCCCCCCCCCACCCGTTAACCCTCCAGCCCATCCACTAACCCCTGCCCACCCTCTGTCCGCAGATCAAGTCCCAGCAGAGCGAGGTGACCCGGATCCTGGATGGGAAGCGCATCCAATACCAGCTAGTGGACATCTCCCAGGACAACGCCCTGAGGGATGAGATGCGAGCCTTGGCGGGCAACCCCAAGGCCACCCCACCGCAGATTGTCAACGGGGACCAGTACTGTGGGGTATGGGCTGGGGGCTGGGGGGTGGAGGGAGTGTTGGAGGAGGACTCTGGCCAGGGTCAGATCTGCCACAAAGCACTTGGGCCTCCTGCATTCAGGTGACCACCCCTTGCCTCCCCTTCCCCAGGACTATGAGCTCTTCGTGGAGGCGGTGGAACAAAACACGCTGCAGGAGTTCCTGAAGCTGGCCTGAGTCAAGCCTGCCCACAGTTCCCCTGCTGGACGCCATCACCACACTCCCCCCAGCCTTCACCTGGCCATGAAGGACCATGTGACCAACTCCCTGTCATTCCTAACCTGACCTTAGAGTCCCTCCCCCAACCCAGGCCACTTCTCCTCCCTTCTAAATGTAGTCCCCCCTTCTCCATTCAAAGGCAACATTCCTTACCCACTAGTCTCAGAAATTGTCTTAAGCAACAGCCCCAAATGCTGGCTGTCCCCAGCCAAGCCTTGGGACCACCATCCTGCCTGGCACTGGCTGATGGGCACCTCTGTTGGTTCCATCAGCCAGAGCTCTGCCAGAGGCCCTGCAATCCCTCTCCAATGAGGACCCTAGAGACAATTAAATGTCCTTTTCCATTGGCACTGTATCTGTTTGGTTATAGCCTGGGCCTCCTGGGTCCCTGCCCTGGGTAAGGTTGGTAGTTGTGACTGTGCTGAGGCTGTGCTCTGTGGGAAGGTTGGTAGAGCTGTCCTCATGGGACTGTCACCTCCATGTTAGTGCATGTGTTTGGATATGTCTGGCACACACATACCTGTATGGACTAGTGGTTTCTGGAGATGTCTGGGACACCCTCCAGTTCACATGCATGTGATGGTGTCCATATCATGCTGTGCCTTGTGTGTACTGCACATTTGCATGCCTGTCAGCGAGTGTGGCCATCCCATGTGCCTGCCTGTGTTGGAGCAGAATGGCTAAGCATGAGTCTGTCATGGGAGGTGGCTACCCACAGTGGCAAAATGGCTTTGTGCAGTGTTGAAGTGTGCCCACGAGTTGAAGAGTGGGTCTGTGCCTTTCTGTGCACAGGTATCAGCTGGCTGCACACGTTCATAGTGAGGCTTTGCTCCTTCCCTCCACTGCATCCCTCCCTTCACAGGATCCACTTAGCCCTTCTTGGGAGAAAGGAACCTAGAAGACAAAGACCCAGCAGCCAAGCCCGCCAGCTGGGGCTCGAGTTACCAAGGGGCGGGTCGGCACCGCCCCCTCCCTGGCCCAGCTGGTCCCAGGCCCTTCCTACATGCCTGGCGAGATGGCCCACCCCTGAGAGCGTGTCGGAGCAGCGGGTTGAGGGGGCGGTGCTTTATTTGGGGCTGGGGCCAGGACTGGGGCCGGGCCGGGGGCTGGGACCAGAACTGAAGTTCAGGCTGGACTTCGGGGCTTGGCGTGACCGCAGCAGCAGTGCTGCTTTGGGCACAAGGCCTGCAGCCTGCAGCGTGAGTGCATCGTCCTGGTAGAGGGTGGGCGGGAATGTGCTGAAGATCTCAAAGGCAGAGGCATCCATGGCCCTGGGGACCAGGCACAGCAGATCAGGCTGGGCCGTGGGGCCAGAGCCCCTCTGTGGTCCCGGCCCTGCCCTGCCCCCACCTGGCCTGCGATAGCAGGGCTCGCACGTCCCCGATGGTGTTGTCAGGCTGCATCATCAGTAGGAAGACCTGTTCCCCATTTTCAGATTTGATGCGCAGCATGGAGAGCGGGGGTGCCGGCGTGTTGGGCGACTCCTGGCTCCTGCACAACCCAGAGGCCATCAGTGCTTCCAGTGACCCAACACCCCCAGGCCCTCACCTCCCCTTCCTGCCCTCACCTTTCTCGCTCAGCGGCCAAGGTGGGCGTCTCCACCACTATCTCCTGGATCCGGGCAGGCAATGGGTAGCAGTTCTAGAAGGTATCAACAGAGGTGGAACAGAGCCTTAGACCCCATTTGAGTCATCCCCCAATCCTTAGAGGGACACATCCTTGACCAGGGACAGATGAGACCAGTGAGCAAAGCGGGAGGGGGTGTTCTGTATGAACCAAGACCAGAGGAGAGGTAATGGAAGGGGAAGGATGCTCTGTCTAATGGAGACAGATGATGACCAGGCTGGAAGCCTGTGGCAGCCTGGGGTCAGGGAAGGCTTTCCCTGGAAAATGACAACTGAGCTGTGACTGAAGGATGAGTGCGAGTTCTTAGAAATGGAATGGGTGCAGGAATATTCCAGACAGCATCAACAAAGATCCTGGGGTCAGGGGAAGCTTCCTAGAGGAGGTGATGCATTTGGGCAACTCCCAGCAGTATGTGTGGCTGAAGCTGGGGATCAATTGGACTGAAAGGAAAAAGCTGGTATGAGGAGGGGCCTGGCAATGTAGGATGGGCCTTGAGTGCCAGCACAAGGAACCTGGCTTTATACCAAGAACCACTGGAAGATTTCAACAGGAAAGGTAGCCTGGAGGATGGTCAGCAGGGGCAGGAGTGGTGGTCGGAGGCAGCTGTCTGGGAGAGACACTCTAGACCCTAGACTAGGGTGGTGGGTGCTGCTAATGGGGAGAAGTTCTAGGGGTGGACAGACCAGACAGGACTTAGCAATGTGTAAGGGAGGCCTGAGAAACAGGTTTGGTGCCTTTCACAGGTGGACACCTAGAAGGAGAGGCAGGATAGGGAGTGAGGAGACAGAATGATGAGGGCCAGGTAGAGTCTGAGGGGCCTGTAGGGCCACCACGAAGGGAGTACCCAGTACTGAGTTGGATATTTTGGCTTAGACCTTGATGGGGTGGCCTGGGTGCTGGGCTCGCCCCTGGCCTGGACTCTGACTTTAGCCCTCTTACAACAAACCCAGTTGCTTCCTGGGGCCCAGCCATTGCCCTCACCAGCCTCACAGTTTCCAGGAGACAGTGGAGCAACAGCTCTGAGGGACTCATCAGCGGCCTCCAGCTTGAATCTCCAGATAGGACACTGCTCTGGCAGCTGGACCAGGGCTGATGATAAAGTTCCCTTAAGAGGGCTGGGCGAGTCAGGGTTGGCCTTACCTGCAAGGTATCCCTGATGGAGCCCCGGATGTCAATCACCTCGCCTTGCCAGATCACACACTTGGGAAGCTTGTTCAGAAATTTCTCAGCAGTCATCCTGGAGCCTGCAGGGGGGTCATTGGGAACCAAGGCCCAGGAAGGACTGTGAGTGGTGCTGGAGCCCACCTAGAGCTTGTTCTTCGGTTCCCCGGGCCCTGGCTCAGCCTGGAGGCCAAACTCACCTGGGTGCTCCTCCACCCTGTCCAAGGCCTTGCGCATCCGCTGCCGGTCCACCACATGGCCCTCGCCTGGGAAGGGATCCAGACTATCCTCCAAGTAGACCTGACTGCGCAAGTCACTCACCTGGCAAGAAAGAAGGGAGACAGCAGCGGGCTCAGCTCTTCAGCCCTTGGCCGCACTTTCATTGCTATTTGCCCAAACACATGCCAGGGTATGGTCTAATGCAACCCCCATTTTAAAGATGAGGAAACCCAGGCCTCAGGAGAGCCATAGTTCATTCTAATGTCACCTCCCTGGACCCTGCTGCTCCTACAAGCACCCATCCACACTAGCTGAATCTGCAGTACTGACACCCTCCTCAGAGACCCCCATCTCAGGAGCCTACCAGGAAAACAGAGTGTGAGGGGGTCAGGAGAGGACGAAGCCCCTGCTTTTGTCCAGTCTGCAGCACAAACCCCATCATCGTACACGGCACCTCACTTGCCTCATCAAGGGATAGCTACGAGGCCCCCATGGTGGCACAGATGCCTTCAACGCCCCCAGTCATGACTCATGCTGTTTCCTGAGCCCTGGTGGCAACATGCTCCCTCCCTGACGTGCCCTCACTGCGGCACTAACCCACCACCCACTGGAACACATAGTCTCATGGGCTCTGGTGGTGGCACCTACCCACAGGCCCGCTCTACCTTGTCCTTGAGTCCCAACATCTGTCCCCTCTGCTTTGCATTTGTGGCTCACAGCCCTGCCTCCCACCCTACCCAGATAGCTTCAGGAGGCTTGAGGGAAGCCGGGCCACTTCTGCAGGGACTGCAGCTTGTCAAGGTGTCCTGAATGCTGGGGAGGACTAGGAGGCAGTGGCCCCGCAGCCAAGGCTGTCTCCACAGTGCCAGCAGAGGGCGCTGCTTGCTGCCCAGCCTCTCCACTCCCTTCCCAGCTGGGCTTCAGGCTCATCCTCCTGGAAGGCATCAGACTGGGGTCCCCCAGGGGGCGCAGTGGCTTCCCCTCAGAATGGGAGTTGCTTCGTGAGGCTGTGTATCCCCACTCCATCCAAATCTCCAAAGGTATAGTTTGAGGGGCAGCTCACCTTAAAGGGGACCCCATTGGGGTACAGTCGCTGGAGCTCTGAGGGAAAGAAGCCATCCAGTATGTCTCGGAGGCAGCGCTGTAAGGGGAGAGGAAAAGTGAAGGGGGAGCCTGGGGCTTGCACCCACCCTGCCCTGCCACTGGTCTGGATGCCAGTCCCTGGATCCGGAGTCACCCAGTGTCACACCCTCTGGAAACATTGAGTCCCAGGGCTTGGGGAGGGACCTCTGCAGGTTGTGCGTTGGCCTGGGTGCCCTGTGGAGGGCAGGCTGGGCCTGGGGGGAGCTGGCTCCATCATCCCCAACTAACAGTGGAGAACAGGGGCACTAGCACACTGCCCCCTACACCACTCCTACCTGTGTGGAGGGATCACAGAAGGGCTGGAAGGGCCCGTCGAACATCATGATACCATTCCGGTAGAGCTTCAGCGGGATGGGCTCCAGGGTACGAAGCCGCGCCCCACCAGGCACTGGTGTCACCTGGGTGTCACCCTCTACCACCAGCTCACTAAGATCCTTCAGGCTGGCCAGCAGCCTGTCAAAGTCCACCTCAGGGGGTGCCAGTGAGTCCCCTGGCAAAGAGGACAGACAGACATCTATGAGCTGCCTCTTGACTGCCGTGTCCCAGCAGCCCTGGCCTCTGTGGCTCCCTCCCAAGCTTGGCAGTGGTCTTAGTGTCTCCTTAAGTAACTGCCTGGGGAAAAGGAAGGACAACTAACACTAGACAATAACAGCAGCTGTCTTCTATTGAGCACTTATTTTGTGCTAGGGGTTTACTATCCATCTCATCCCCAGGTCTTAAAAGCCTATCTGTAGAGGCTATAATCACTTCTGTTTTTCAGATGAAGAAACAGAGGGTTAGAGAAAGTTACATGGCTTTCGAGGGACACAGCAGTAGGCAGCAAAAGCAGGACCTGATCTCAGATCTCTGTCAGGCACTGGGTTGGCAGCTGAAAAGCAAAGGGCAGAGCTCCTGGCTCTGGATCAAGGTCTTCCGGGTTCAAATGCCAGCTCCTCCACTTCTACCTGTGTGACCTTAGACTGGTCATTTAATGCTTGTGCTGCAGCATTCTCTTCTAGAACGGGATAACAGTAGTATCTGCCCCCTAGGATGGCTGTAAGGCTCCAGGATGACCACGTAAGAGCCAGCTTGGAACACGCATCCTGTCCATGTTTGCTACTGTGTCCAACTCCACCTTGCACATGTGGTCCTTAGGCCAACCCTGAGGCTAGGAGACAGGGGTTATTTATCTCCATTTTACACATGAGGAAACAGGCCCACAGAGATGAAAAACGACTCTTCCCAAGCCACGTGGTAAATGAAAGGAGGAACTGGGAAGGGAGCCAGGGCTGACTCTCAAGTCTGTTTTCCCACCCATCTGCACCATCAGGAGAGGGAGGTCAGAAGAGAGACAAATGGCTCTTAGGGAGGATGTAGGGACAGCTGCTGGACAGAACAGATAGGGGACAGACCTTAGGTTGTGCAACTATTTCTGGGTCACAGACCCCTTTGAGAAGCTGACAAAGCTTTGGCCTCCTCTTCTGAAAAATATGTGGCACATACAGCTGTGCACTGGCTTCGGGGGAAAAGATGGAGTGGTGGGGACAGCCGTGACAGATAACAGAGCAGAAAGGTGGAGGGCAGGTGGATGCAGGCTGGGGACAGACCAGGGGCCTGTTGTGTTATCTTTGATGGGACCTGGCCCCCAAGTAAGTCATCTGTTCAGGCGTACGCTACCACATACCAGTAACTTTTGGGGCCTCGGAGAGGCTGTTTTTCAACAGGACAGGCAGGCTGCGGCAGGATGTGGGTCAGGGCTCTGGGGACTGAATTCCCTTCCCCTCAGCAGTGCAGTGGCAGTACCAGGGAGGTGCAGATGTGTTTCCTGTTGCCTTTGCAGCGGGTGAAACGGTAGGCCCCAGCTGGCCTTCTCCTTCCCCTATATTTCCTACCGTTGAAGGGGCTATCCCTGCCCCCACCTCCTCCTGGGGTTCCCCCATAGTCCCTGAGATTCCCAGGGAAAACTCACCTAACAGAATGATATCAAGACATTATTTTAACAACTAACTACTTTAAAACCAAACTGGCAAACCTGAAAACAGTAGAACAGATCATCTCATCCAACTCCAGCCTCAACCCTTTTTTTTCTCCCTTTTGTTTTTGAAAGGGTCTCCCTCTGTCACCCAGGCTGGAGTGCACCAGCATGATCATGACTCACTGCAACCTTGACCTCCTGGGCTCAACTGATCCTCCCACCTCAGCCTACCAAGTATCTGGGACCCTCTGTCACCCAGGCTGGAGTGCACCAGCATGATCATGACTCACTGCAACCTTGACCTCCTGGGCTCAACTGATCCTCCCACCTCAGCCTACCAAGTATCTGGGACCACAGGCAGGCGTCACCACACCCTGCTAATTAAAAAAAAAAAAAAAAATTTGTTGTTTTGTAGAGACAGGGTCTTGCTATTGCCAGGGCTCCCTCCTCTTTATAGATGGGGAAAGTGAGGCCTAGAAAAGTCAGATGACATGGCCTGATCAGACCAGGCAGAGCCAGGAAGAGCACCAAATATGCCAACCCCTAATCCAGTGCTCCTGCCACCTCCCAGGGCCAGGGCTTTTTCAGGCTGATGAACATGGGTCATCAACATGGGATGGGGTCAGAACGGAGGATGCAGAGAAACGATGAAAGGGAAGAGAGAAGCTGCCAAGAAAATGGCCCTGGCTTAAGGAAGTAAAAGCGGGTGAGTTCAGCAGGCGTTGGATGTGATAGAGTAGAGATGAGACTGGGGCCAGGAAGAAGAACCACAGCTCTGGGCAAAGCAGCACTGAAAGAATGAGACAGGAAGAGCTACCACAGCAGGACCGCGGGAAGCCAGTCAGCCACCACCACCCCACAAGGGTTCAACAGAGGCCTGACCCGTGGATGGAGAGAGGTGCAGTCGGGGTGGGGGGGCATCACACAGGGTGAGGAATGTCAGAGGGTAAGTCCCAGGCCTGCCCTGAGCTAGCAGCAGAACTCCAATGGGAAGGCAGTTCCTCTTTCAGCCACAGCTGTCCTTTCTGCACAATGGGGAGAGGGTAAGAACCCTGTGCTGCCTGCAAGCTCCAGCTGGTGAACCTGTCTCAATGCCAACCCTGTGCCAAGCACCGGAAGGCAGGCATCACTGTTCCCGTTTTACAGATCAGGAAACTGGGTCATGCATCCTGCAGGGCCCAAGTGACTCAGCCTCAGTGGTCAGTGATCATGTAGGCTGCCTCTCAATATTGGTTCTTGGGAGGCTGCTTACTCGGGTCCCTTTTCCAGGGAGGGTGGCAATGCTGGGAGATCACCTCTGAGGCCTCATCCAACTTTGAGAGCCCACAAGCGAATTAAAATGAGGAGCAGGGAGGTCAAGTCTAAGCTCTTTGGCCCAACTCCCAAGACCCTTACTTAGCACCTGGCCTACCCAGCCTCCCCTCAAAATGCCCCTCCCCTTGCTCTCAGCTGGGCACTGCAGGGCACTTCCAAGCTCTGTGACCTTGGGCCTCTATAGGCCTCAGCTTCCTCTTCTGTACAGTGAAGACAATAAAAGCTCCCACACTTCACAGGGCTGCTGTGAGGCTCAGAAGAAGTGCTTGGCAGATGGCGACTGTTGTCCCTAGCACCACCCACTCAACGTCGGCGCAAGCTGCTCCCACTCACCCCCACCTCCTCCTGAAGCCTTGCTAGGAGCATCCCCACCCCCTGCCCACCTTGAGGCTGCATGCCTGGAGCCCTTGGGCCGGCTCCCTTGGCCCTTGTCACAGACCACTGCTATCTGCTTGCTTGTTTGCCTTTCAGCCATGCTGGGTACCCCCTTGAACTCGGGAGCGTTGAGCCCTGGGCTCGGCCCAGAGTGGCTGGGCCAGTAGAAGCAGGAGCACCCGTGCTCTGCTAGGCCGTGCCAGTCATGCCCAGAGTCCTGCCATCCTTAGGCTCAGACTCAAGTGAAGACAAGTGTGGCAAACAGTGACAATGGCATGTGTAAGTATCACTGAGGGGGCTGTGGAGCCCAGAAGTGGACCAAACCCTACCATCTCAGTGGAGAGCTGGCAGCCCCTCACTGCACAAGTGCCAGGGCACCCCAGCAGCTCACGTGGTGCCACCCTCCCTGTGCCTGTCCGACCCTCAAGCAGACAGTTGCAACAGGAAGTGGAACCACTGTTACCACACACCTGCAAGCCGGCCCTACTCTAGGCACTTTACTGCAGTCACTCTGCTCCTCAGAGGGCCCAGTGCAGGAAAGGAGGCCCTCGGGGCTGGTCGCTGCCAGAGCACTCAGCCAGCCTGTGGTGTGGCAGGATCTGAACTCAGGCCTGCAGCTCTCTCTGGCCCCTGCCACTGAGCTACGCACCACCCTGTCCCCACCTCATCCTGTGCAGACAATTGTCACAGCGTGCTCTGATCATCCAAGCCTGGGTGCATGGGCATCACAGCCAATCACACACAGTGACACATGCCCTTGCCCGTGTGCCAAGCACTGGGACAAGCATGACAACAGCTAGGTGACAGTGGCTGTCACAGTTCATTACCACATCCATTCAGTGGCCCTAGGAGCCCTTCAGCACGACTGAGGAGGAAAGGAACTCAGAGGGGGTCAGCAAGCTGCTGATCTGGAGTCTGACCCGACCTGAACCCCGCCTCAGCCAGAGCCTTTAGCCCCTTCCCTCAAGGAGAGCCCTCCCCACAAAGCCACAGCAGCAGCACAGTCCACACAGGGCAGGCGGGTTTGCTGGCCAGGGGAGATAGAAGGGGCTGAGGCACTCTGTGGGGACAGAGCAGGAGCAAAGGCTGGAAGTGGAACTGCAGGTGGGGAGGAGCTGGGTCAGGCAGCTGTGGCTGGTGGGATTGAAGGGCAGGTCCAGGGGCAAGTCACGCAGGCTGTGGAGTCAGGGGGACTCCAACCCAGACTCAGGAGTGTGGGGCTTGGGAGGAAGGAGGGAGGCATTCAAGGTGCTGGCAAGGAGAGGTGGAGCCATGGAGGGCAGCAGGGACTGACTGGGGTAGGGGAAGTGGGGACCTCAGAGGGGGATGAGAGGGTCAGGATTCTCAGGGGAACAGGAAGCAGGGAGTGAGGAGCTCAGAAAGCACCAGGAGGAGGGAAGTGAGAGCCTCAGAGCTGACCAGAGCTCTCAGCCCCGAGGCCCAACACCTGGCCCGAGTGGTGTGTGACCAGAGCAGGACTGTCCCTTTCATGTCTCCGAGGACCCTGAAGCATCTGGCACAGCATCATCCTCTGTGAAGATGGCAGAGAGAGCAGGAGAGTGAGCAATCCAGCCTGAGGCCAAGCCCCTGCATGGCTTCCCCACTGCTGGGCCCCTTCACGCCCCCACCAGTCCTCCTCTCTAAGGCAAGAGTTCCAGACTCCAGAACATTTGAATCATCCCCCCTGGCTCAGCACAGACGGCTCTGGCTCACACTCCACAAGCTTCCACCCCAGTGCCTGTGGGAGCCTCTCCAACAGAGGGAGAGCAGAGGGATCAGCAAGCATCAGGCCAGAGGGCTGTGAGCCTGAGGGCCCTGGGCAGGAGCAGGCTGGCACCTGGGGAGAGAGGAATGGGGATGCAGGGGAGAGAGAAATCCCAGGAACAGAAGCTGCTAGTGATGAAAAACATGTCATTCATCTGGCAGGAAGAGCTGAATCAAGGTCCCTCCCAAGCTGAAAAAATCAAAAAAACAAAAGAAGGAAGAGAAGGCATGGGGGGCCATGTGGCCAGGGCCTCCAATGGAGTGGGGTGTTTTTCACAAGTGACTTTGACTTGAGGCACTCAGAGAACAACCAGCCAATCAGGGCAGAGTAGGAATCCACAGAGCCAGGTCCAGAAACCAGCCATCTGGAAAGGAGCAGGGAGGTAGCCCTGGCCAGGAGGAAGGCTGCCTGGCAACAAGATGGCAGGCCACCTGAAGTCTGAGCCCCACCTGCCACGGCAGGGCCTGGGGTGCGGCACTGGTAGGCCTCTGGCCTAGACCCAGGATAGACATTCTTAGAGCACCTGTGGCCACCTGATAGGGCCTCACCTCACATTCACGCCAGGGGTCCCTGGAGAACTCTCCCCATGACACCCACCCTGGGTTCAGTTAGAGCTTTGGTGCTGGCATGCCAGGGCCTACAGTGTCCTGGGCAGCAGGGCTACGCTCCCCTTCCCAGCAACATCCGGGCCACATAGCCTCCAGCTTTGCTGTGTCCCAAATGGACTCAGCATCTTTTCTGCAGCTGTGCTCCTTTGGGTCATCCCTGACTCCTCTAGTCCCCCTCAGGTACAGATACCAAGGCCATGAATTCCACCTAAATCTCTCTGCCAGTACCTTCTCACCATCCTCACCCTCGAGCTGGACATCATCTCATCTTCTGCCTCGGTGATGGGCTCTCAGCCTTAAGTCTTGCCCCTCTCCCCTCAATGAGTCCATAGACTTTTTAAGTGCCTCCCTTTACCCATCTGTGCAATGGAATAACCCCTGCCCCTGTCAAGGCTATGAAGGCTATGAAGATGCTGGCGGGGCACAGTGGCTTACAACTGTAATCCCAGCACTCTGGGAGGCTGAGGCAGGAGGATCGCTTGCATCCAGGAGTTCAAGATCAGCCTGGGCAACATGGCAAGACCTCAACTCTACAAAAAATAAAATCAGCTGGCTTTGGTGCATGTGCCTGCAGTCCCAGCTACTCAGACAGCTTCGGTAGGAGGACTGCTTGAGCCCAGTGGGCCATGATTGTGCCACTGCACTCAGCCTAGGCAAAAGTGAGACCCTGCCTTAAAAAAAAACAAAAAAAAAAAAAACAGAAAAAAGAAAATTCTTTGAAAGCTGCAAATGGCCAGGCACGGTGGCTCATGCCTGTAATCCCACCACTTTGGGAGGCTGAGGAAGACATATTAGAAGGTCAGGCGTTCAAGACCATCCTGGCCAACAAAGCAACACTCTGTCTCTACTGAAAATACAAAAATTAGCCAGGCATGGTGGCAGGCACCTGTAATCCCAGCTACTCGGGAGGCTGAGGCAGGAGGATTGCTTGAACCCAGGAGGTAGAGGTTGCAGTGAGCCGAGATCGCGCCACTGCACTCCAGTCTGGGCAACAAGAAAAAAACAAAAGCTGCAAATGGCGCACAAATGGGAAGTGATGTTTTTAGAACAAGTGGTGAGGGTGCTGCACCCTGAGATTTGGGGGGCTCTGGCCACAGCCCGGGCCTAAACGGAGGCAGGATTCTCCTGTTTGGAGTCTTGGTTTTTACCTAGCAGGAAACGGGAAACCAAGAAGGTGTCATCATCTTCCAAATGGGCCCCTTAGGAGCTGTGCTCCCAGAGGACCACCCCTGCCCTCTGACTTTGGAAACAAGGGCTCCTGTTTGTCAGGCCAATGGCTGCAAGTCCAGAGCCAAGCCTTCTGCATTTAACTCATTTGCTCCTGTAACTCCCAGGAAAGGAGAACACTCCTGTTTTGTTAATGAAGTGAGGCCCAGAGAAAGGAGGTCACCTCCCTAGTCACTCCTGGGATGAGAGGGCATTGAGATGAGGGCCCAGGTGTGCCTTACTCTAGTGCCTGGAGAAGCATCTTTTGGGTGACAATCTCCATTCTTTGAAGAGAATGGGCCTGGTTTTCAGAAATGGCCAGTTCTATGGACCCAAATCCATAGGAGGGGACTGTGGGGGGAAAATCCCTCTAGATATTAGTGGCCAAGTTAAAAACAAAACATGGTGGGAGCCCACAGAAGTAGGTGGATTCCAACAGCCATAGCGACCTGGAGAGGGAGGCCATGCCTGGGAATTTGGGAGTAGTTTCTAGAACAGACTGCTTTTTTTTTTTTTTTTTGAGACGGAGTTTCGCTCTTATTACCCAGGCTGGAGTGCAATGGCACGATCTTGACTCACCGCAACCTCCACCTCCAGGGTTCAGGCAATTCTTCTGCCTCAGCCTCCTGAGTAGCTGGGATTACAGGCATGCGCCACCATGCCCAGCTAATTTTTTGTATTTTTTAGTAGAGACGGGGTTTCACATGTTGACCAGGATGGTCTCAATCTCTTGACCTCGTGATCCACCCGCCTTGGCCTCCCAAAGTGCTGGGATTACAGGCGTGAGCTTTCTTTTTTTTTTTTTTTTTTTAAGTTGAGACAGAGTTTCACTCTTGCCACCCAAGCTGGAGTGCAGTGGTGCAGTCTCGGCCCACTGCAACCTCCACTTCCCAGCTTGAAGCAATTCTCCTGCCTTAGCCTCTTGAGTAGATGGGATTACAGGCATGTGCCACCACACATGGCTTATTTTTGTATTTTTAGTAGAGACAGGGTTTCGCCACGTTAGCTAGGCTGGTCTTGAACTCCTAACCTTAGGTGATCCGCCCACCTCGGCCTCACAAAGTGCTGGGATTCAGGTGTGAGCCACTGCACCCGGCCAGAAGGATTGCTTATAAAAGCCAACAGCTTCTAGATGGGTGACTATACAACCTAAGGCAAATGAGGCCTTGCCACCTCTTGTATCTCTGGGTCTTTGACAGATAAGCAAGAGAGAGCAGAGGCGGGACTAGGGAGAAATGGGCCAGCAGGTTAAGTGCTGATGGAGGCTGAGGCCGCCCCTACACTGTGCCAGGGGCAAGGTGTGGTCTCTCCAGGGCGTCTCAGGTGGGGGGCCAGGGCATGAATCAGATGGGCCTCTGGGGAGCTGCTGGCCAACAGCAAGCTGTTGGAGAAATCCTTTTGAAGAGGGCCTGGGGGATGCCCTACTCTACCTGGCTTCCAGAACTTCCTGGCCGTCATCCAGTCCCTCTCGCCATCCTCTGAGACTGTCTTGTTCTCTGAGTCCTCCTGGTCCATGGGCTCACCCACCCACTGCAGGCCATAGTCGCTGAGGAACCGCTGTGGGAAAGAAGGGGAAGATTCCAGGGCACTGTCAGCTCAGCCCCTTCCCAGGGAAAGGCGGTGTCAGCGCAGAGCCCAGCCTCAATCCCCAGGCGACAGGGCCCCCAAGCAGACCCGACAAAGGGATGAGTGGGGGGATCTTGCCACTTCCTGGATGTGACCTTGGATAGCCACTTCAGCCCCTAGAGCCTCAGACTCCTCTTCTATAAAATGGAGATGACAGCACCTGCCACACAAGCTTAAGAGGAGGACTCAGTAAGATCACCCACGTCGGCGCCCAGCCCACACGATGGCTCGGTAAAGTCAGCCTGCTTGTCACGGGAGCCATGTGGCCTGGTGCAAGTGTGAGGAGGAGGCAGGGCTGAGGGACGTGACCCACGTGCCAGCCTCCCTAGGGCTTGGCTGCACGTCCCCTCTACCAAAGGAAACTTCTGAACTGTCTTAACGTCCACACCCCACTTCTCTTCTCAAGCCACGGGAACCTGGCTCCATCGCCACACCACTCTCAAACTGCTCAACGTGTAGCCACTGCCAGCCTTCCCACCGCCGAGTGCACAGGCATGTGTCTGTCTTTATCTCTATCTGCTAGTTTTCCTCCCATCTCCTGGGCTGTTCCTTTCCAATTTCCTTCACCGTTTCCCCCTCCCATCCAACACCAACTGGTGAGATCCCAGCTCCATCCACACATTCTCCCAAATATATATGGACAGAACCCAAATTTGTATATATGCAGATCTCACCTGAGCTCCAGACTCACATATCCAACTGTCTATACTTGGATGTCTAATCACCATGGCTCCCACCCCCGTTTCAAACCTCCCTCGCTGCAGGTTTTCTTGTCTCTGGAAATGACACCCCATCCACCTGGGAACCCTCTGTGGCCCATTCTTTTACAATGACCTGCAAGGCCTGGGATGTCCCCTCCAATGCAGCCTGGAACCCATCCGCTGGGCTCCATCTGCCGCCACTGCCCTAGTTCAAGCCACCATCGCCTTTCTCCTGGACAATCCAAACTAAAGCCCTTCAATGGCTTCCCATTCTTTCAGGACAGGATCCAGCTGGCACCACAGGTGGCTCCAAGGTGATTTGGCCCCTACAACCTCTTTTCTTTTCCCGTTCTTCTTTCTCTACACAGCCACCGACCATGAGCCAAGTTATGTGGTGGGAGGGGGCGCCTTTCCTCTCTCTAAGGCCTGGATCCTCTTCCCCATCCCCTCCTCACTCACCAGACATGTCACCCCCACAGTTGGTCCCCCAGTGTGCCTCTATGGGTGTCATCCATTTATTTATTTTTTGAGATGGAGTTTCACCCTTGTTGCCCAGGCTGGGGTGCAATGGTGTAATCTCGACTCACCACAACCTCTGCCTCCAGGGTTCAAGTGGTTCTCCTGCCTCAGCCTCCCAATAGCTGGGATTACAGGCATGTGCTACTATGCTTGGCTAATTTTATATTTTTTAGTAGAGATGGGTTTTCTCCATGTTGATCAGGCTGGTCTTGAACTCCTGACCTCAGGTAATCTGCCCACCTCAGTCTCCCAAAGGGCTGGGATTCTAGGCGTGAGCCACCATGCCCAGTGGTGTCACTCATTTAATCATGTCACAGCACTTTCTGTAGTTGTGTACCTGTGTACTCATTTGTCCCCCTCCCCCCAGGCTGGCAGTCTCATGTAGGCAGAGACCATGTCTGTCTTGTTCATGCTCTGCCCCAGGCCCACCCCAGGTAGATCCTCCAGATGAGGCTGTTAAATGAATGAAGTGATAACTGGGTGGCTGAGATGCACACAAGGGCAGTCATGCCCCCTGCCCTGAGGCTCTGGCACAGCCCTCACCCTGTGGCCACTGCTCAGGGACAGCCCCAGGTACAAACAGCCTGGAGCAGGAAGGGCTCTCAGCTGCACCTGGAGGGTTGCTGCCGAGGTCTTAAATTAGACCAGGGCTTTGGAAACCAACTCTGCATGGAGAGGGAGAGTTCTTCCTGAATCCCAGGAAGAACTTCCGGCAGGGCCCATGGAGGGGTGGGGGACACAGAGGACGTATGCATGTCTGGGACCCTTCCCTGTGCCTAGTGTCCCTCTAGTTCTCTTGCTGTTTGAATGGCTGTGTGAGTGGGGGGAAGACAGGTGACTGGGTTAACTGAGTTCTCAGTGAGCAGAACTCACAGCCAGAGGCAGCAAATGGCTTAACCAATTCAGTGCTGGGTCCCGGGTGCACAGCAATAAACAGGAGGAAATTGCTCCCTCCTTCGTGGAGTTCAGAGTCCCACAGAGAAGCGAGATGAGAAACTGAGGAAGCACAGGACGGAGAACCTACTGAGGAGGCCCCGGGAGAATGATTGAGGACAATGGAACTGGCCAGGGGGAGGTGGAGGAACATTTCAGCAGAGGGAACAGCACGGCCCAAGGCCCTGAGTTGAGAAAGAGCTCCATGTGGTCACAGACTGGGAGGAAGGGCCTCATGGCTGGAGGGCAGAGTGGTTCAGATGAGATGAAGAGGCACACAGGGGCTGGCCAGCAGGGGCCACGGTGAGGACTGTGCAACTCAGTCCAGTGGGAGCCATGAGGTCTGCTAAGCAGGGGAGGGGCACATTTCAGAGTGCTGGTCAGGCTCCAAAGCAGGGGTGTGCCCCAGCCCTGATACCTCCGTGGCTCTTTAAATTCTGGGCTGGTCCTGGGTAGGGAAATGCAGGGCAGGGTCCTGGGTGGGATGGAATGAAGAGGGGCCCAGAGAGGTGGGCTCGGACCTAGTTTCTGAAGGGTGCATGGCACAGAGCTGGGGACTGCTGGCTGCCCGCATCCCCAGGGCCCACCGCGCTCACCTCCATCTCCCCGACCTGCTGTTGCAGCTGCACACACATCGACTCCAGTTCCTCCTGCCGCTGCAGGGTCACCTCGGCTTCAGGGAAAGACAGGGATGGGCTTCAGCTGCCCCAGCAAGACACTGCCAGGTCAGCTTTGCCCTGAGGGTCACCTGGAGAAACTGTTCTGGGGATCTCCCGAACTGCCTCTTGGCCCCCTAACCTCTCCCCTGACCCTGTGGTGGGTGCCTTGATGGCCTCTAGGAGGCTGCCACCCACCACCCCCTCAGAGCCTCTTGTCCTCCACACTTCAAATGGGACTCGGACCCACACAGGAGGGCACGAAGTGACTTCAGCACTGTTCTGGATATGTCACAGCCCCTCTGTGGGCTCAGCTGTCCACACCCCACCCAGCAGTCAGCTTGATGCTCTTGATGCCAGAAGCCATTGTCCAAGATTCCAGGAACCCCAGGCCCAGGGGAGGTGCCTCACCCAGGGCACAGACCAGCCCCACAAGAGCCTCCTACCCGGGTGCTGCTGGAGGGTCTGCACTAGGTCCTCCAGGGCCGCTATCTTCTGATCCTGTAATATAAGACACAGCGTGAACACAGGGCCTGTGGTTCCCAGAGCCTTGCCCAGATGGGAAGCTCCAGAACTTTCCCTACATTGGACACTGGGGAGCAATTAGCCCCTGCCACCCTTTGGCACAGCCACTGCTCCTGGACCTCAGATAACCCTCGAGGTTCTTCTGAGTGGGGAGAGGCACAGCCCACACCTGAGGACCCCAGCATCAGAAGTCTGCTGCTCCACCCAATCCAGGGTCTACTGGGCCCTGCTCAGCTGAGGGGAAGACCCCGCCCCCAGCCTCTCAGGCCCAGGCCACACCTGGTCCTCAAACTGGCCAGGTCAGTGGGGGAGATGATCCTAGAACCACCCGCCCTAGTCCAACTCCTGGCCTCCCCAGCCCAGCCCCTCTGCCTCTCAGACCAGCCCTTGGCCCTCTCCCACCTGGGGCCCCACCTTGGACAGTATCTCATCAGTCTGGGCCTTCACCTGCTGCTCCAAGTCCCACAACTTCCTCGTCATGGAGGCCATCAGCTCCGAGTCATGGAATCCAGGGACTGCCAAGCAGACAAGGTCTTTAGAGCCCAGGCCTAGAGCTGAGGCCAAGTTGGGGGGGTGGAGGGAGGAGGACAGGGGCTGCGGGAATGGAAATTAAAGAACTGACAGCAGCTCCCACTGGCATCTTAGGAACTGTTCTAAGCACTTCATTTAGATCAGCCCCATATAATCCGTGAAATACACCCATGAGACAAACGAACTGTTTTAGGAAACTGAGGTATATATAGAGGGAGCGAGTAATTTGTCCAACATATACAAGGAAGTGGTGTGACATATGTGACATATGGGCCACATCACCCTGAAGCACTGCCAAAAATTTCACCCTCAGTCTGATCAAACCTCCAAATCTAGTGTCCAGTTGGTAGGCAAAAGGGCAGATAGAGGACTGAGGCTAACACCCCATGGGCAAACCACCAGATAAAGCCAGAATTCTGGAAACTACAGAAAACAGTAGCCAGGACTCTTCAAAATGTCTGGGTCACTTTTAATTTAATTTTTGGTTTTTTCTTTTTTTAAGAGATGGAGTCTTGGCCGGGTGCGGTGGCTCATGCCTGTAATCCCAGCACTTTGGGAGGCCAGGGCCGGTAAATCATGAGGTCAAAAGATCAAGACCATCTTGGACATGGTGAAATCCCATCTCTACTAAAAAGACGAAAATTATCTGGGCGTGGTGGTGTGTGCCTGTAGTCCCAGCTACCCAAAAGACTGAGGCAGAGGAATCGCTTGAACCTGGAAGGCAGAGGTTGTAGTGAGCCAAGATAACACCACTGCACTCCAGCCTGGTGACAGGGCAAGACTCAGTTTCAAAAAAAAAAAGATGGAGTCTTGTTCTGTTGCCCAGGCTGGAGTACAGTGGCACCACGACCATAACTCACTGCAGCCTTGAACTCCTGGGCTTGAGGAATCCTCCCACCACAGCCTCCCAAGCAGCTGGGACTACAACTGCACACTATCATGCCTGACCAATTTTTAAAAAATATTTTTTGTATTTTTAAATGCCTGGACAACAAAGCAAGACCCTTTGTTTGTAATCCCAGCACTTTGGGAGGCCGAGGCAGGTGGATCATTTCAGGCCAGGAGTCCGAAACCAGCCTGGCCAACATGCCACAACCCTGTCTCTACTAAAAGTACAAAAATCAGCCGGCATGGTGGCATATGCCTGTAATCCCAGCTACGCAAGAATCGCTTGAACCCAGGAGGTGGAGGTTTCAGGTTTCAGTGAGCGAAGATCGCACCACCGCACTCCAGCTTGGGTGACAGTGAGACTCTGTCTCAAAAAAAAAAAAAAAAAAAAAAAGTATGAGAATGAAGAAAAGAGAAACATACAGGAAGAAGCAGGCCTTTTCTTTCTCTTCCCCGGACACTGTCCTTTCTATGTATGAAGCAGAACTGCAGACATCACTGTGCAACCACATGAGGCTGACATGTCAAGGCAGGTTCAATGGAAAGATGGAGAAACCTGAGCCCCGATGATGTCTTTGAGTCACTGAATTAACACTCCTGGAGCTGCCTCTTTAGGACTTCTCCACGTGTGGGATAACAAAGCTTCCTAATGTTCCTGTTGGGTGAGGAAGGGTTTTCTTTGACTTATAGTTAAATGTGTCTTGACACAGAAACATTTGGGAACTGTCTGCACATGGGGTACAGGTGAGCTCAATGGGGCACAGTGGACACAGAGGAGAACCCAGGCCAGAGGAACATCACATTGAAAAGTTGAGTGCCCAGGTGCGGTAGCTCCCACCTGCAATCCCAGCACTTTGGAAGGCCGAGGCGGGCAGATCACCTGAGGCCAGGAGTTCGAGGCCAGCCTGGGCAACATGGGGAAATCCCATCTCTACTAAAAATACAAAAATTAGCCAGGCATGGTGGTGTGTGCCTGTAGTCCCAGCTACTCAGGAGGCTGAAGTGGGAGGACTGCTTGAGCCTGGCAGGTGGAGGCTGCAGTAAGTAGTGGTTCGTGCTACTGCATTCCAGCCTTGGCATCAGAGCAAGACAGTCTCAAAAAAAAAAAAAAAAAGCTGTAGGGGAAAGAAGGAGCTGGTGATGACAGCTAAGAGGCAGAGCCTAGGAGCAGTGGACAATGGGTGGGCAGCAGCTTGGTGCCTAAGAACTTGGTGGGGGTCCTGAGAAGGAAGGAGCAGTGGACAGTGTAGGATGCTGTTGGCAGACAAGTGAAATAGGACAGACCAGTCTTCATATTACCTTGGTAGGGAGAGATACTGGCTGGGAGTGGGAGAGGAGGGGATGACAGGGGAAAGCAGGGAGAGGACACCTGTAGCTCTTTTAAAGAGAGAACCTGGTTGCCATGGTTATTACTGAACGTGACCCGGCTGGGTGTGGTGGTTCATGCCTGTAATCCCAGCACTTCGGGAGGCTGAAGCAGGAGGACTCTTTGTGCGCACTTTGGGAGGCTGAAGCAGGAGGACTCTTTGTGCCTAGGAGGCTGAGGTTGCAGTGAGCCATGATCACACCACTGCACTCCAGCCTGGACAACAGAGCAAAACCCTGTCTCAAATAAAATAAAAAAGTTGGGCCAGGCGTGGTGGCTCACGCCTATAATCCCAGCATTTTGGGAGGCCGAGGCGGGTGGATCACGAGGTCAAGAGATCGAGACCATCCTGGTCAACATGGTGAAACCCCGTCTCTACTAAAAATACAAAAATTAGCTGGGCATGGTGGCGTGTACCTGTAGTCCCAGCTACTCAGGCGACTGAGGCAGGAGAATTGCTTGAACCCAGGAGGCGGAGGTCGCAGTGAGCAGAGATCGCGCCATTGCACTCCAGCCTGGGTAACAAGAGCGAAGCTCTGTCCCAAAAAAAACAAAAACAAAAAAAGAAAGTGACCCCAGCCAGGGTGTAGGAGATCCCCACTTTGTGATTAAATGGCTGCTGGACCTTAGGCCAGGCTCCTCCTGTCTCTTTTTCTGCCTCAATTCCTCCCACTGGTAAAATGGAGGGACATGGTAGAGGATCGGCAGGCCCTTCCCTAGGGCTGGCCTCCTGATCGGCAGCCACCCCTCTGAGCATGCCGTGTGACAAGCGCTGGCTAGGGGCTTTCCACCAAGGAGCATATCATCAAATCCTCCCAACACGCTGCCCTCAGTGTTCCCATGCCCACCTCACAGAGAAGGCAACAGAGACAAAGAGAAGGGAAGTTGCTTGCTCCAGACCACGGCTAGCGAGCTTGTGGAAAGTGCTAACCTCAGCCCCAGCAACCCCAGATGCCGCCCAGCACTCAGCGCCCAGCACTCAGCGCAGCTCATCCCTGCCTGCCCACATCTCGCCTTTTCTCAGACCTGCTAAATCCCTGCTCTGGGAAGCCACTCTGATTAGCCCCATCCCACTTGAGGCACCTCCTTGAACTCAGCATTGCCACAGCCCTCTGCCAACGGTGTAGACCATGCTAAGCAGGCTAGCTAGGTGACTTTGGGCTTTGCCAGAGCCCTGCAGAAGCAGGAAGCTGAGCTCTATCCTCAGGCCCTTCATACCTCCCTGACCCTGAATCCTGGGCCCACTAATATCATACCTGGTAACTACAGCCACAGCCTGGCCTGGGGCTGGGCCCTGAGCTAAGGGTGAAGCTTGTGTGGCTTTATGCCAAGCCACGTCCTGGCCACTATCAGCCAGGAGTGGGAGAAGCTGCCTCAGACCCAACAGGTGAGAGGAAGGGCCATGCCTCCCCCTGCCTTGCCCTTTCTGAGGCCCCCTCCTGCTGCCGGGACCCAGACCCTTTCAGGCCTCTGCTCTCACCTTGCCGACTCACAGGGGCACCTATGCCACCATAGCAAGAAGGGATTGAGATCTTTTCTTCTGAGCCACGCCCATCACTCAACATGTCCACCTCATCTTCTGCAGACAGGGATGCCTAGGTCACCGCTCTGGGCCGAGGCCTAGAGGAAACTCAGGCCCTGGGCCCTGGCCAGTTCGAAGCAGCCTATGTACTGCACCCCGGGGAGTAGGAGGAGAGAATTCACCAGGCTTCGGAGCAAGGATCCAATAGAATGGGCCTGTTCTTGGAGTTCTTCCAGCCCAGCTCCCAGGGGACCTGCATGGCCAATGCCAATGCCATGGTGGGGTGTTGGGGGCCAGGGATCCGAAGGCCTGAGCTACAGGAGTCAGGGTGGCAGTGTGTGGATTGGCCTCCCAGAGAAAAGGCTGTCACGCTGGAGGTGGCTGGGTACAGACCCCTGGGCTGGGTAATCTCTTGGCCCTCCCATGGTTTCTAGGCACATACTAGCCAGTCCTATAGTGGGTCAAGGGTTTCAAATGTTAGTGGCAATATCTTGCCAAGGGTGTGGGGTCTCCTAATCTGAGAGCTTACAGGAGGGAAGCCCAGCCCTCAGGGAGAAGAGCGCAGGAGCTGCAGACAACACGGTGGAGGCTGCTGCTCCAGCTGACAAGGGCCTTCGTCGTGCACTTTCTCTCCATCAGCCCAACTGTAGGAGGTGCAGGCACATGAGAGGTGAAGAGGGTGTGAGGGCAGGGCCCACTTACCATCTCCGTAGATGCGGATTCCTCGCCTCCTGGGAACCCAGGCAGGAAGAAGGAAGAAATATAAGTTAGGAACCCTGGAATGATACCAGGGATAGCGTTCTGGGCACCAGACTTCAGCCAAAGCTCAAAGAAATGGAAGCAGGCCTCTGCCTCCTGAGGACTTCCAGCCCCAAATCCCAGCCCTAGCCTGGGGTGAGCCAGAAGACAGGCTTTGAGGTGTCTGACTCTGCCCAATGGAGGAGGATGGGGAAGGGGTGAGAAGACCAGAGTATTAGGTGGGAAGACTATAAGGCTTGCAGAGCTCATGAGCTCAGCCCCAGCTCTGCTGTGCAAAGGCTGAGGCCTGTTGCTTAACCTCTCTGAATCTCCTAGGCCTTAGAATGACTCAAAGTGGTATTCCAAAGAGCAAGAAGGAAGAGAGGTAAAAAATGTTTTGAAAACATGAAAGTGCTAGACAGATATAAAAGATTCCCTTTACTGAGAACCTTACACAGGGCCTGGCCCAGGATGGGTCCATAGACCATCTGTGTTTGCAGAATTAATCAATGAACAGGGAACAAACAGATGGGATGCTAAGCCACTCCTACAGGCCCCATACCTTACTAAAAGCACAATGCAGTTCATGCTTAGATCCGAAGTTGGGCACCCCAGAAGAAGATGTAAAGAAAAAGACAGTGGTCAGGGAAGGCTATGTGACCATTCTTTGTATTCCCCAAGACACTAGGAGTCATTATCCTCTGGCCATGGGAGGATGGAAGAGGACACAGGAGCAGGAAAATAAAGACCCCCGAGGCTGGCTCCTTACCCAGGAGTCACAGGTTCCAAGGGCAGGGGCACTTTCCGGGTCTTGCTAAGGGAGGTCAAAGGTGAGCTCATAGTTCCACTTCTAGAATCCAGCTGTCAGGAACTCCCTAGAGGAATGCAGAAAGTCAACCCTTGGGGACAGAGGCGACAGATTCAGGGCTCCAGGCCCAGGGAGTAGCCTGAAGTTGCCTCTTCCCTGGCTCTTCTTCCTAATGGGAAGCACTGTGTAGGCAAAAGTACCCTTTGCCTCTTCCACTGCCCCGACAGAGGTTTCCGGAAGTTTCTGTTATCTGACTGCTCTTCTGGGAATACGGCTCTCCACTCTGACCTGAGAGACCTTTGGTCTGATGGTGCTTGGGAAAGGGCAGTGAGGATGGGATGGGATGGGATGGGATGGGATGCAGAAATGAGTCAGAAGCCTGGGACTTCCTCAAACTTACAGCCTGGGAACACTACTACCCAGGAGGCTGTCCATCCATCTGTGAGCTGGGTGGCACAAAGCCCAAGTGTCTCCTTCCTTCCCACCAGAAACCATGTGCCACTCCCAACATCTCAGAGCCAGAGAGGGCAACCCACAGGCAGGATTCACACCAAGATTAGGACACCAAGTTCTGCCACTCACTGGAGCAATCCATCTTCAGTTTCTTTTAGTGTAAAATAGTGTAGTAATAGTACAGACGCAGGCAGGGTTCTGAGCAGATTCAGAGAGAACAGAGAACATCCAGCCCAGCACCAAGCTCAAAGAAAGCACTGAAAAATGTGAGCTGGGGCTGCTCTGAGTTTTTGCCATTGCTGGCACATAAAAGGCACTCATAAATGTTAAGTTTCCTTTCCTTCCCTCTTCCTTCTGGAAAGAGTGCACTTGAGGGACATCACTGAAGGCTACTACTCTATTCAGTAAATGAAGCAGATTAAGTCACTAATATCTAGAACTAAAGGACCTCTACTAGGGAGGTTTTGGAAACGAGTCTCACTGTGCTGCCCAGGCTCATCTCCCATCTTGCCACCTCCCACACTTGAGCCACCTGAACTGCTGGCAATGCCTCAAATGCACATGTGTCCCCACTGCCTCAACTCCCCACTCCTACCTGCACCCTTCCCTTGGCCAGCTAACTCTTTTTTTCCCCCCTTCAGTTTGTTTTTCACTTATATTTTAGCTTTTTATTTGAAAATTATTATAGATTCACAGGAAATTAGGAAAGATCTTTGTATTCTTCACCCAGCTCTCCTCAGTAGTTACATTTTATAACTACAGTGCAATATCAAAATCAGGAACTGACATTTTTTAGACAAGATCAAGTGCGTTCAGGGTGGTATGGCCGTAGACACTGACATTTTTTATACAGTTTGTATGTACAGGTCTATGCTGTTTGATCGCATGGGCAGATTAAATCACATAGGTCAAGTCACATGGGTAACTACCACTGCAATCAAGATATAGAACTATTCTAGACCCACCAAGATCTCCCTTGTGGCCCTCTTTACAGTCACACCCATCCTGCACCCCTCCCCCAGCCCTAACCACTGGCAACCAGAATGCTATTTTCCATCTCCATAATTTTCTTACTTGAAAAAAGTTATATAAAAGGAATTATACAGTATACAAACTTTTTCATTTGAGATATAATTCACATATTTCACCCTCTTATGGTGTAAATTTAAGTTTTTAGTATATTCACAGAGCTGTACTACTA